ACCTTTTTAAAAAGATGTAAATAGTTTAAGAAGAGAAGAAATCTTGTAATTTATCCTTACCTTGAAGTTCTCATACTCCAAAATTTATTTTATTTACACATTTATATAAATTATAGATAGAAACTTGAATATTTATAAAAGTGTACTTAAGAAGTATATAGTATAGAAACTCGAGTTACATGCTTGAATTTAACTTTTACTTGATTAATATGTTTTTAAGCTTAAAATTGAATTTACTTTTGATGAAGTTATGACCTCATTTCTCTAGTATAATAATGACACGTACTATTCAATTAAAATTTAGTATTTTTTTTTAATAATATTTTAAAAAATCACTGCTTCTAACCCTAAACAATAAAAAACTAGGTGTACTTATAGTTTTCACAACTGACTTGACTCAACTTTAAAGTGATTATGTAGGTTCATTAATTAAAGATGGGTCAACAAATTTCAATTTCTATGTCATAACATGATGTTGAATTAATTACTTCTGATAAGTACAACCCGAGCTACACAGAAGGTCGTAGCCAACCTCTATGTATACCAACACAATCAATCTTCAAACAAACAAATCATATAATATTTGTGCCGAGTGGTGATCTTAAGACTCATTATATCGATCATCTGTAGATTTCTTATAGGTCAAGAGTATGCCACAACTTTAATTGAATATAATGAGGTTACAAGGTGGGTACTACAAGTTTTTCATCAATAAAATAATTCAATACCATAATGATATTTGTGTACTTTTGATTAATATATTTATTATATTATTAAAGAGAAATAAAATCATAAGATAAGAGTTACCATGAATTTTCAAAGTTTAAATCTATGTATTGAATTATTTGAGGTCAAGTAGTAATGCTTATATTTGTGAGAATTTAATGTATAAAACATTATCTAGTATCAAAACGTTTTTTGTACATGTTTTATATAAGTTTTAGGTTTTTTTTTGTGTGTATGTTGTGTATTTATACAATCTACAGGGATTGAAGAAGCACAATGAAGAAATTAGATTGCTTGTAGGATAACACCCCGATCACCAATGGCGAGCACATAAAAAGTTGTATTAGGTCACTTTAATCCAAAATATAGAAAAGGACATTGCAACAGCAAGTGCCAAGAGCCCCAGTGCCAAGCACTGATATCGACACACCGCCATAACCAACAAAGCCCCTCTCAAAGACCTATTTTTATGGATGAAGTTCAAGACATGCACTGATGCCACCTTACTAGCACTCCCCATTGATATCAGGTGATTTCTATCGGGTGATTTCTGCAGTTTGTGGATAGTTCAAATGAATTAAATACTCAAATGAATTCAATTTGACGTAAGCGGAAGAGTTCATACATTGGATAAACACAAAGAAAGCTTTTGGGAAAGACTTTAATGAGTGTAGGTTCTTTGGGTGTATGTGAGAGTGTGTGTAAACGAATCAAGAAGGAAGAGTGCATTGTAAAATAGAGGATCATCTTGGAGCAAATAGGAGATGCAAACTATGCTTGATCTTTTCATTATTTTTGTAAACTTTGATTTTTATTTCAATGAAATCTATTGTGTTTTCTTCACACATGTTTAGGAACTAATTTTCGTACTTCTTTGGATTTATGATGTGAACATCTAGTCCATTTCATGTAATTTTTTTAGAGCAAATTATGGCATGTTGATATGTCAACATTTAAAACTTTATTTACTTTCTTGCTGACTACCAAAATAGTTAAAATCAATTGTGAGCTAGAACAATTGACTTTGAACTACAAGAATAATTATGTCAACACATAATTTCTTGGTGATATAAAAATATTGTCATTAGAAATTGCCATCATATAGAGGAATATGTAATCTTAAGATATTTTGTAGAGTTAAATGGACTTAACCATAACATGAGACTTCAATGCTTTTTTATTTCTAGGAATACAGTAAGAAGTTATAGTCCCTAGTAGTGAAATTCAATAAGAGAAAATTCAGTGGATTAACATTGAATTTTCACACGATCCACATCAAGGAAAACTTTCTACCAATAGCAAGAAACCTAAATATCATTAGTTTTAACATTAAAAATTTCGGACTTTTAGAAAACCTTTAAAAAATGTGCAACATGTTGGACTAAACCTAGAATTAGTAGACTAGCAATTGAACTATATAAAATTTAACTTATTCCTCTAGGACTGATAACTCAAACTCAGAATTTGTATACTACTTTATCGACATGTATATTTACATAATTAATATTTACATCATTGCATTACAAATCATGTACTTTTGAAGAGTTTGTAAGATGTAATGAGTGATGTCGAGCATTAAAGGAGCACATTGACCTTATAGGCAATGACATTCAATTAAATTGGCAGATACTAACTTTGAAGTTGATAGGCAACACGATCCAGAGATGTGAATGACCATAATCAATATATAATTATCATAAATCAATAACTGAGTGATTGTTGGCAAGTGATTATATATAATTGAATGTTAGACGTTAGATAATTGTAGTAAAGTGATTGTAGTCATAGTGAGAGATTGAATGATTCAAACAATAAATGGATGGTGCTAAGAAAAAAAATATAGATTAATTAAGAGACAATGTGGGGGGAAAGTTGGGTGATAGTGGTATGGTGGTTGTACAATAATAGCAGTTTTGTGAAGGTGACAATTTTGGCTAGACGATGATGGACTAATGAAGCTTAAGAATCTATCGCGCTTCAAAATTTTCTTAAATCTCCCATTTAAGTTCAGGCTCTCCTTGGAAGAGAGTTGAATTAAGAATGTTCTTAATCTCTGTATGTGGGAAGAAGAACTTGACAGAAGGGCACATTTGAAGATGATTAAATGTATATGATAGTACTTTACTAGAGGCAAGAATTTCTGAAAAAATTGGGATAATAAACTAATATTCTCATAGATGGCAAGGAGAGTGTCCTGCTACAACCATTCTCAGCACATTAACATGAACATTTTTTTGAGGTTGCAAATAGAGTTGCCCCATGCCCAAGCATAAAATCAATTTTCATAGTGGCACCAAAACATTGTGTTAGATAATTCCCAACATTGTAAAAATATTAAGTTTTAGCTAGGTAGAGATATCCAACACATTCAAAGATAGAAGTGCTAAGAGATGGCAAGGTTTTTTTTGTGAAAAATTTGGGAAGACAAAAATTATGGGATATGATTCAATCAAAGCTATCTACCATACAGTTGAAGTTATAGAGATTCAATTTTAGAGAAAATAGGCTTACAAAGTAACAAAAAATTTATCCTTCTGTGATTATAATAGGTGTTGATAAACACCAATGCTGATCATATTACAATGATTAGATAACAACTGTTTAAAGATCATAATCGGGCAATAACGACTGTAACATTGTAGTTGTGCTACATAATTATTATTGGTTTTCGATTAAGATTGTTGGTACATAGTCACTAGCTTCAAGTTTTCTTTAGCGTGTGAACTTAACTCTTTATTTTTCTCTCCCCCTTCATGTTGAATAAGAGATCCTATTTATACAATTTTGGCGGGGAATTTTGGTAAATATAACAAAAATTGCAAAACAGATTGTGATTATTTGTATTATTTCCTTTAATTAGATTTTATTATTTTAGTATTAAATACCATAATGACCTCAAAATTTAGTGATCTTAAGGTTGGATTTCACTCTGGGCTGCTTGATTCTGCCATCAGCATATCAGCTCGTTGGATTCCACTCTGGGCTGCTTGATTCTGCCATCAGCATATCAAATTTAAATATCATTCAACCCTCCAGTTAATGTTTTGAAGCTTTTAATCATTTTTTAAATGCTTGATTCGGGCTCATTTGAACTCGGATCGAATCTCTTTAGTGTCGTTTGGTTCACACTATCCTGATGTTCAATGTAATTATAAACTCATTAATGTTCTTTAATCTGATTCTTAAACTTTTCTTATCCAATATATATTGAGATTTGCATATTAGGAAGTGAATTTTCTAGCGACATATCAATATCATTAGTCATGTTCTTTCATGTAATTAGAGTTTTCAGTTAAAAAACGTTCAATCTATTATATATATATGAAGTTTGTGAAGGTGGAAGCCACTGCTGTTCTGTTCTTCTCATAAACCAGAAGCACGGAGCGAAGACCAGTAAGTCATCCCCGGCCGCCATCCAACTGGAATGACATCATCAGCGACGAGGATGGCATGAGATCTCAATGATGTAAGCCGGAGAGAGAAAGGAGGCTTCAGTTCATAATTGGAGTTGAGCTTCCACATTGCTCCCCATGACTGCTGCATCGACGACCACTGCGGCGGCAAGCCTCCTCCTCCTCCTCCTTGCCGGAGATCTACGCTGGAGAGATCGCCGTCGCCGCCTTCGTACTCCACAACAACTGCGAAGTAGTAGGCGGTGGATCCACTATCCACGTGGAATGCGATGGTGTAGCCGTTGTAGTTGCATGCAGCCCTGTTCGGTAGAAAAAAAAAAGGGAAATTTATGTACATACCACACAAATTGCATATCCAACGGCCAAACTTTGATAATTACACTTGTAACATTTCGGTGTCTAAGGGTCTATTTGGGGCAGCTTGTGCATTTCAGGACAAGCTGTTTATCCTGAAACGCGGCCTGCGGGCCGGCTGCAGGGGTCGACCCGCGGCCCGCGTTTAGTGTAAAAACCCAAACGCAGTTTCGGATAAGCTAGCAAGATAGTGAAGTATTATTTTTGATGCGATATTAAGGAATTGAGTGATATGCATGTAAATATGCATGTTTTGGTGTTATTATTTAAATATATAATAATTATGTGGTTGTATGTAAATGACCAAAAAAGAGTTTTTTGCTAACTATATATTTATAAATTCAAATTTTGTTATAAAACATTTAGTGGTTTTTCATCAGTTTGAATTAATTGTAAACTAAGATAAGGAATCAAATCTTATGTTGTAAATATACTTCATCAAGCTTGAGCTAACTTGAAGAAATTATATTGTTGTTAATATTATGCTTGTGGATGGGTTTTTTAATTGCATTAATATCTCAACTCTTTACAAAGTCTTTGCGTCAAAATTGATGTCATGAAGGCCTTTGACAAAGTTAATCGTTCGTTCATCAATAAAAAGAGAAGGTCTATGGGTTTCCTCACAAAATTCATTACATAGGTTTATGGTTGCACTGTGCAAGCCCCTTTCCCTATCATTATTAATAATGTGCTTCATGGTTATCACAATTCATCCTCTGGGTTATGGCGGGGTTATCCACTTTCACCTTATCTCTTTACACTTGTTATGGACCACTTTTCGAGAGACTTAGATTTCCATTTTAATAGCTATGGTTTGACCTATGGTAACAAAAATATCAGTTATCTCATGTATATTGATGACTTATTATTATTTGGTAAATCATCATGCTCGATTGTTGCTTGTCTCTCATCTATTCTTTGAACCTTAATATCTATTTTTTTATGATCATGGAGACTTAATCTATTCAGTTTATTTGTAGTACTCCTAATTATTTTAATTCTCCTCTCTTCCTTGGGGACTTCCTTGGGGGACCTCTTGGTGTTAACCATCTACTCTAGCAAGTTCAAAACTATAGATAGGCCCAAAATCATGGCTAAAATCCAACATTAGCTTACTGGATGGAAACAAAAGTCCCTAACTTTCATTGCTAGGATGCAACTCATCAAAGTCACTATTTGAAGCTACTTATATTATAAGCTTAGGTCTTCTATCATCTCTAAGGGATTAAGAAAGATGGTCTCCTCCACTCTAGACAGCTTTCTTCACATTTTTGATCAGGACAAAAATCTTAATACAATTGCATTGGACACTACCACTAAACCCAATATGATGGTCTTGGTATTCCCAACCTTAACTGGATTAAATGAAAATATTATTTATAAAACCACTTATTCATTTCCAAAACCCTAAATTCTATTCAAATGACAAAAAAACATTTTTTATTTTAATAAAAATTACTGTAAATTAATAATAAATTCAAAACAAATTATTAGATTTACAAATTTATAATTTTAAACATGGATGAAAACAAAATTACTCCTCTCTCTCAATCATATACTATTTCTTATAAAAAAATTTGGTGGATTTACATACGAAGCACCCAAATTCTTATTAATTTCATATCTAACACTTGAGAAACTTTAATGTTACATACATACCACCCAATTCTCCTCGTTTCCCAAATCTACCACTTCATGATCTATTCTATAATCATCATAAATCTCACAAGTGATGGATATGAGAAATTGAGAATAATTCAGCGGCATGTATGTATGTAATATTAAAATTTTAAGTGTTGGGCATGAAAATTAATAACAATTGGGTGTAGGGGTGTAAACGAGCCCAGGCTCAGCTCGTGTTCGGCTTGTTTATATTTCGAGCTCAAAAAGTGTGTTCGTGTTCGACTCATTTGCTTAGCGAGCCGAATAGGAGTTGTTCACGTACAAAGAGCCATTTTGACAACTCTAATCACGTAGCCATAAGATGTTAAGGGTTGGGGCAAGATTTAAAAATTATTGTTTATATTAAAACATCATTTGAATCTAATTTATTATTTTTTATTCTATTTTCTTAATTAATAATTTTAATCGATTATAAATCTTTATAGCCTTCAATTATACCTTTTTTAAATACTACCCTATATATATATATTTAGCGAACGAGCCGAACATGAGCTGTTCGCGAACAACAAGCCATTTTGACACGCTAATTGGGTGGTATGTATGATGAAACTTACCGAGTATAATCAACAGCGAGCACACCAACTCCCATGAGCTGATCAGCTTTGCCCGGCACGGCAAGGGACCCAAATGCCGACCCACTTAGGTCGAAATGAATCGTCTCCTTTAAACACGGTCCACCGGGGCATTCATCAGTGATGGTCACCACCACTGACTTCCCAGAACACATAGAGTTATTTGTACATTTAACCTAATTAATTTATGATCGTTAATTACTGCTATCTAATTATAATTATTGAAATGCTTTATAATCATTTACATGTTTGATTATATAAATAGTGAATGAATGTTCCTTACCCGATAACATGCACCGCATCCTTTGCCTGATAAAAACAGATTAGGGTTTCCTGCAGTCACCATGGAGGAAAAGGGTGGCTTGCCCACCAGATCACCATAGCCACAAGCACCACCTGTGTACAACATGTCAATTTTTTTGTTTTCTAAAATAATGAACGAATATATATATATATATATATCTATTTGGTCGACAATATTTGCAGTGCATTGCATTCCTAATGCACGAGTTTCGAAAAAACAACTGTTTATTTGGGAGAAATTCCAATAACACAGGTTAATGTAAAGTGTCATTGGACATCATAGTCGCTAACTCGTCCATCATCGTCGGTCGCCTCAGATGCCCACCACTCGTCACTGCTTGCCAGTGTCACAACCCATTGGTCGCGGTTTACCACTCTCCGCCACCACCGCACACTACACCATATCATGCTGTCGCTACCGCTATCTACTACCATCAATCAAAACATTACTTTTCAAGCATATTTAAGTACATTATTTTTATTTTAGTTCATAAAAAAAAATAAGTATTATATTTACGTTATACCAAAACAAAATTTAAGGGAACTTTATAATGCGTTTTTAAAACATGTCACCCTTTTAAAATCAATGGAAATGACATTGAATTTTATCTTCTCATGCTGATTAAACTGCTAATAAAATTTGATTGATCAGAAAAACTTAGTATTATTTTAATAAAACAGGTTTGTACGTACGATTATTACATGAGCATGCAAAGTACGTAAGATACTTGATTGATTAAGAGAAGATTAGGGAGACATCACCATCACTGCCGGAGCCATTGCGACTGCCATACCACGTTGCTCCGGCTGGCTGCCAATCTGCCGCCGGCGAGAAAGGCGACGAATGTTTTATTGGATTAGAGAAAGAGGTGGAAGGAAAGGTGGAGAGAAGAACAAGGGAGCTGACAACGCAGACGAAGGAAGGTAAGGATGGAATATTTGGAGCCATTATAAGAATCCAAGTTGTCGGACAATAAATAAATAAACAGTTTGGAGAGTTATAGAAGGTAAATTTTTTGTTATTTATAGAAAGGGAGAAGAACAGGAAGCAAGTTTTTTTTTTCTTTTAGTTTTTTCATAATTTTTTTTTAATGCCTTGCAATTTGAATGAAGATTAATGGAGCATCATTGATGCAAATCTAGAAGGAATTGATATAGTTCCGATAGGAATTGATGCAAATCCGGAAGGGTGCTAACTTAATTCCATAATTCATGCAATCATAGAGGAGTTTTTGGGAAGTTCATGTTTTTAGAAGCTATTTACTTAGATTTTGTATTTTATTATGAGGGGTTATTGCTTTCGTAATTTGAGTTTCAAATTATTGCTTTCCAAGTTTGATGGGAAAGTAATATTTATTTCTTTCAATTTAAATTTCTAGTTATTGCTTTCCCAGTTAGGATGGGAACTAGTAATGTAATTTGGTTGCCAAGTCCATTGTTTTCTCCCAAATGTAATTTGGTTGCCAATTTTTAGTAATGAAAACAAATGAGAAAGCTTTCTTTGGTTGCCAATTCCATTGTTTTCTTTTTTCAATCATCGTTGGTGAGTCTTCCAACATTGTAGAGTGATTCTACATCCGCCATCTCTTGAGCTCAATGAGATATTGAAATTGAGGGAACGACAACAATTTGGTATCAGAGCACGGTTTTCTTGCTACAAGGACGTCAAATATTTCATGCTGACTCTTATTTTATAAAAAAATTGGCCTTTGTGTGTGAAAGAGAACTTTGATTAATGGACACCTTGGATGGAGGAGAAGAAATAAAATACGAAGCAAGCGACGACAAGGATGTAGAGCACTTTGGAGCAACCAATTTGCCCAGTTGTGTGATTCACTGAGTTTTGACAAATACTAAGAAAAAGATCCAAGGTGTTGATCTTGATTGGAGATGCACCAATATTTTCCATACCCAAATGGAGTATGGTGGTCGGGCCCTAAATGTAATAATTAACAATAGGAGTGGAATGAATGTGATTTCCAGTGATGCAGTGGAAAGCTTGGGGTTGAAAACTGAAAAACACTCCACCCCTTATCGATTAAGTTGGGTTAATGAAGTTAACCCTATCATAGTTTCACATCGTTGCTTAGTAAGGTTCACAATGAGAAAAAGTTATTCGGATGTGGCCTGGTGTGATGTGGTTCCTATGACCGTTTCATTTGCTATTGGGTCTACCTTGACTTTATGACAGAAAGGTGTCGTATGACGGGTATGCCAATTCTTACAACTTTAAATTTAATGGCAAGACATTTATTTTAGACCCTTTGCAGATCTCTAAATTTGAAGCACAACCAAAGAAAAAAAAGGTAGAAGCCATTCCAGTGCTAACCATTCGACAATTCACTCAAGCTCTAAAGGAAGAACCACTAGTGTTGTTAGTAGTGAACTGAGAGGCTAAACAGCATGATAGTATTATCCCCAACAAATTTACGGAGATGCTAGAGAAGTTTCAAGACATGATGGCCGAAGATATGCCAAGAAAACTACCACCAATGTGAGAGGTATAACATGCCATTGAGTTGATTCCAGGTTCTTCTCTGCCAAATCTACCTCATTATCTCATGAGCCCCGTGGAAAATGAGGAACTCATTAGACAAATTCAACTGTTGCTTGACAATGGTTTCATCCGAGAAATTCTTAGCTCTTGTGTCGTGCCAGTTCTACTTACACCTAAGAAGGATAATACTTGGAGGATGTGCATCGATAGTAGAGCAATCAACAAGATAACTATCAAGTACAAATTCCCTCTCCTACGGCTGGACGACATGCTTGACTTACAAAGTGGTGCATCTGTCTTCACAAAAATTGATCTTCATAGCGAGCATCATCAAATTCACATTCATCCCGGAGATGAGAGTAAAATGACAATCAAAACAAAAGATGGATTATTTGAGTGGTTGGTTATGCCTTTTTGACTAACCAACACACCAAGTACATTCATGTGTGTTATGATGCAAAAACTTAAGCCTTTCTTGGGAAAATTCATTGTCGTCTACTTTGATGATATTTTGAATTTTAGCCAATGTTTGCAGGACCATTTGGACCTTGTGCAACAGGTATTAGAGACGTTACAACGAGAACAACTTTTTATAAATCATGGAAAGTGCTCCTTCTTAAAGAATCATGTTTCTTTTCTGGCTTTTATTATCTCAGACCAGGGGGTTGAAGCAGATCCAAATAAGGTTCAAGCAATCAAAAGCTGGCCTACTCTGCAAATTTTTTTTTGAAATGCACAGCTTCCATGGGTTAGCAACCTTTTATCGACGTTGCATATGAAATTTCAGTGCCATCATGGCACCCATTATCGAATGTTTGAAGTCCATGCATTTTGTATGGACAGCAGTTGCTGATAAAGCATTCACGGAGATCAAAAGAAAAATAGGAGAAGCTCTAGTTCTCAAGTTACCGAATTTTTCCAAAATTTTTGAAGTTGCTTGTTATGCATCCCACGTGGGTATAGGAGTGCTTAGCCAAGAAAGCCATCTTATCGTCTTCTATAACCAGAAACTCAATGAGACCTGTAGATGCTACTCAGCGTATGACGTGGCCGTTCAAACACTTGAGCATTGGCGCGCCCTTATTTGATCCATAGAGAATTTATTCTTTAAAACATTTGAATGCTCAAAGTAAGTTGAAGTCAAGGCACGCTTGATGGATGGACTACCTGCAACAATTTGATTTTGTCATCAAGCATAAATCCCGAACTGAGAATAAGGTAGCCGACGCCTTAAGCAGGAGAACACACCTATTGATGATCTCGTCAGTTAATACTGTGGAGTTCGATAGCCTCAAGCAACAATATTCCACCGATAAGGACTTCATTACTATCTGGAGTACGATCACAAGCGACAAGGGCACAGTTGCAAATGCATATTCTATCAAATATGGGTTTTTATTCCATGGCACTCGATTGTGCATTCCATGGGCTCATTCAAAGAATTTATTATTTCAGAACTTCATGGAGGGGGCTTAGCAGGACATTTTGGGTTTGATAAAACATTTGCTATAGTCTCTGATCGATTCTTTTGGCCTAGACTACGTCGTGACGTGCACAAAGTAGTGTCTCAATGTCAGACTTTCCAAATAAATAAAGGCACGAAACAACAAGCAGGCCTCTATACCCTCCATCCAATTCCAAAAAAGCCTTGGCAGCACATTAGTATGGATTTTGTGCTTGGGTTGCTTAAGACCCTACAACAACATGATTCCATCATGGTGGTGGTGGATCGCTTTTCAAAGACGGCACATTTTATCCCTTGCCACAAGACTTTTGATGCTTCCAAAACAACGACATTGTTTTTATAGGAAGTAATTCAACTACATGGTATTCCAACCACTATAGTGTCCGATCAGGATGTTAAGTTCATGAGTTATTTCTGGAAAACTTTATGGGCAAAAATGGGGACCAAATTACTATTCTCCAGCGCGTTTCATCCTCAAATCGACAGACAAACCGAGGTAACCAACCAAAGCCTGGGGAATTTATTGAGGTGTTTAGTCGCCGACCATACAACAAGTTGGGACTTCGTGTTACCACAGGCAGAAGTTGCGTTCATTAACTTGGTCAATCGCTCCACTGGATACACACCATTTAAAGTGGTCTATGGTTTTCACCCTCACACTCCGTTGGACCTCCACCCCTTGGCACTTCCTCCTCGACCAAGTGAAGCTGCACTCGATTTTTTCAATTACATGAAAGACATTCACGCAGAAGTCAAGAGACGCCTGACACTCAGCACAAAATTTTATATGTCTTCTACAAATATTAAGCAGAAGAACATGTACTTTGATGTTGGTGGCATGGTTCTTATTCACCTCAGGCCCGAACGATTTCCTCATGGGAGCTTCAACAAATTACATGCTCGGCGTGCAAGACCTTTTAAGGTGACCAAACGATTAGGGCCTATTGCATATGTCATCGAGTTGCAAGCTGACTACAGAATCAGCTCTATTTTTAATATTGAAGATCTGACTCAATTTCATGGCTCAGAGGAACAAGTGCTAGCTACCACAGACATACCGGCTCAACGAGACACAATTATTCGTGTCCCTAAAAATACGGGCCCAAGCGATAAAATTGCATCCATACTCGATCACCAATTTGTTACTACTCGGCGTGGAGGATATTACAAGTTCTTAATCCAACGGAAGAATCGTCCAAAATTCGACTCTGTTTGGTTGCAAGCATCAGAACTTCAGTGTTTAAACCCACATATTTTTGCTACTTACCTTCAACAAAACTTGTCGGAGTCAAGTTCTTCAAGAGAGTCGGCAATTGATGCAAATCTAGAAGGAATTGATACAGCTCTGGTAGGAATTAATGCAAATTTAGAAGGAATTAATGCAAATCCGGAAGGGTGATAACTTAATTTCGTAATTCATGCAATCACATAGGAGTTTTGGAAAGTTTGCATTTTTCGAAGCTATTTACTTAGATTATGTATTTTATCATGAGGGGTTATTGCTTTCGAAATTTGAATTTCAAATTATTGTTTTCCCAGTTTGATGGGAAAATAATATTTACTTCTTTCTTAATTTAAATTCCTTGTTATTGCTTTGCCAGTTAGAATGGGAAATTAATGTTTTTTGCTTTCTTAATTTAATTTTCTAGTTATTGATTTCCCAGTTAGGACGAAAACTAGTAATGTAGTTTGTTATTTAATGTGGTGATGAAAACAAAGGAGACAACTTTCTTGATTGCCAATTCCATTATTTTTTTTTCAGTTATCGTTGGTGTGTCTTCCAACATTGTAGAGTGATTCTACATCCACCATCTCTTGAGCTCAATGAGATATTGAACTTGAAGGAACGACAACAATAGTCTATGAGTTATGTTTAGTAATGCAAAAACAGCAGACGAGAAAGCCAGATAAAAGGACGGACTTTAAGAGAAAATTAGATATGAAAGACCATGTTGTTTCTTAGTTGGAAACTTTTAATTAGATTATA